ACCTACTGCACCCCTGATGTTGACCCAAGATTGATGTGTGGAGTGACCTACCCCTTGTTTCTATGGGATAAATCACATGCCCAAGGCATCAAAAATATCTTCAAATGACAAAATGACAAGCAATGAACGAGCCGAACGATAACGCTTTGTCAGAAATGGAAAACAATAATGATATAATCTTCTTCCTATTTTTTCGCGACAAACAACATTTCCAATATAGCTCGCTTGGCAGAAGTAAACGACCAAATTTTTGACAAGCTGCTTCACGAAGTAAAGCCGTGTGTTAGTGGAAATCTTTGTGTTATGTCTTTTCTCGATTCCGATCAAGCTATTCTCAACCATGTATATTGTTCTCAACCATGTATATTGCAACAAAGCAGGCAAGCAGTATATCATTATCGTTCTACCAGTCCGATCGAGCTGTGTTGCGGAAATAGTTTGTCATGGTAGTCGTAGCCTGGGACGGGACTTGACAATCGGGTAGCGATTTCGAGCCAATTTGCTGTCAAATCCGAGCCAGTTTCTGATTGGTCGACAGTAGCAATCGTGGAATAAAAAGGAAAGAGGGATCGCATCAATCTGGTTGGCAGTGATGCCGGAATCAATGTTTACGTCAATGTTAATTGTTTATATTTGCGAAAGGATAGTTGAAAAATTGAGTCCACTGCGTGTTTTAAGCGATAGATATTGTTGTTTGTTTATGGTTGTTTTTATTGTGTTGAGCAAAAATGATGTACAAGCTGATAAATTGCAGTAGAAACTCCGAATAAAATCCAAATTAAAATAGAAAAAAATATTTTACATTCATGGCATCATTGGTCAACTCCGTCAAACACCACGCACAACTTTCCGAAGGGAATTCTTCAAAAACATTAAGAAACATTACCTAGGGGATGAGTACTTAAGGGGGTTAGATTTTGATAAGTTCTTTAGTGGGAATGACACTGATGAAGACTGCACATTGTAGTCGAAATACGTATCTGTCATGGATACCAAAATTAATTAAGTGGAATTAAATGGAAGATAACCTTTTTTGCTGTTTTATTTAGCATCCCGCTAACAACCCAATTTCATTACTTCATTAATACCCCGTTCACATTACAGCGTATATCACTGATCACTCTACACACTTATTTTGCTTTTTTCTCAGTGTGTCTCAGTGTGCCGCAGCTTTACCGAGAGAGCCGAGAAGTAATTGAACTGACTTTTGTTTGCTTGTGAATAATGCCTTGTTTGGCAACCCGGTATTTTAACAGCTCTTGTTTTTGTTTTGTTTATTAAGGTTTACAAAAACGACACGCACTCCAGTTTTGGCTACACATTGAAAGCAGCCGTCTCCAAGGATGCCTGCAACGGACGAGCCCTGTTTCTACACGATCCTACCATCTTTGGCGGAAAGCCGACCCCGTATAATGACCGTCAATCTTTAGTCAATCATAGTCCTAAACCAGCCCCTCTGGAAGCCGGCGGAGGAAACGGATTTGCACCGAATTTTTCACCGCATGAGTTTCATCCGTCGGAAAACTGGAAACCAACATGGACCGGAACACACGTCGGACGGAAACCTTCATGGACGCACCACTGACCCGAAATGGACTAGCCAACTTCATTCAACCGGCACAGCAACAGGGCGCAGTGAGGATGGTCTACGGACTCGACTGTTCAATTTGTTCTGCCTGTACGGAAATGTCAGGATAAAGTTCCTGAAGAGTAAAGAGGGTACCGCCATGGTCCAGATGGGAGACGCCATCGCAGTCGAACCAGTCGAACGCACCATCCAGCACTTGAACAACATTCCAATCGATAATGATGGTAGCAAAATTGAGATTGCATTTTCCAAGCAGAATAACTTGTCAGAGTCCATCCTACACCCTGCCGGGAAATTTGAGCAGCTTCAAGCTTGAAGGGAGAAAACATTGAAACAATATCAAAGCTAAATTTAAAGTGGACCCTACACAATTGCTTTTATTGACAATAATTGTATTGTCAATACATTCAATATTGACGTCAATACATCGGTATTGACAATATTTCTGTATTAACATCATCAATATTATTGTCAATAATTCCCCTTTACGTCAATATATTGATACGTGTGGGGTTCGCTTAAGATAAAGTCCAACGTCCGGCATGACATAACCTAAATAGTATATTGCTAGAGCCACGGCTACACAAATTATCGATGTAGGTAGCTCCCATGGCTGCGGCTGCTTCCAATGCTACTGCTGCTTTGGTTGCTGCTTCTGGTCCGTCTCCTCTAAAATTCGTCAAAAGAATGTTGTAGGAGACGAACCAGCAGTAGCATTAGAAGCAGCCGCAGCCGTGGGAGCTGCATCGCTAGTTCGTGTAGCCGTGACCGGAATCCTTGGTCCACACACGATACCGCTTTCAGCTGTTCTTTGTCTGGGAGGAAATGTGCCGTCACCGGTGTAACGATTTTGATAACGGAGTGTTGCTATGCAAGCGATTGCCCTGATTCCTTCATGCTGGGTGGTCGACTGGTCGGAATGATTGTACGCAGTCCGGCACGAAATGGTTTACCTAGTTCTTCGGACAGGCATCAGGATGTGCGCTGACAATTCGATTTAGGAGAATCCATGGCGAGACCTGGGGTGGGACGTGCTGTCAAATCAGCCTACTGATCATTCTGGTATGAAATTGGTTCCAAACGTAAACAAACCCTGTAGGTTTTTTATGGCTTGTTTACGTTTGGAACCAGTTATACGAGGTAGGCGACGATTGTTCGTATTTGACAGCCACCTCCCCCCCTTGGGCGAGACTTGGTGGAGATTCACGGTTGTGTTTTGAAGTAAATTGATTATATTGTGGCAACATCAATAACAAATTTTGACACATGCACACTGCGCAGGCGCAGAAAAAGTTCAGTGCTGCCAGTAACTTTAAAGATCAGAACAATTGTAAGCATTGGTACCAAATAGTACCAATGACTGTGCCCAGCTGTGCCCAAGCTTGTTTTTGGCACACTGTGCGGAGTGACCAACCCCTTGGGGGAAACGTTCTCACAACTTCTACCGGGAAGTTTTAAAAACTTCTTTCCATCCAAGATGTTGTTACGTTTTTCTTTGTAGCGAGAATTTTTCTACTAGTTCCTTCAGTAAGTTACATATATTCCTTTTCCTTTGGTTTGTTTTTTTCCGTCGATCTTGTTTTCTGTGCTGAGCACCAATGCTACCGACGTGCCAGGAAGGCAGCTCCCACACCTGGACCCTACCTATCGACCCATCAACTCATGAACCGGGGACCAACGGCTTTACTTCCCATCCGAAGGAAGGCGTGATCAGAGATGTTATGCCTCAGAACATCCCGGCGGCGCCGACTGGGATTGAACCCAGGCCTGCTGGGGTGAGAAGTAATCACGCTTACCACTACACCACCGGCGCCGTTTACATATATTCCGTTAGCTTAAACTTTTTCCAGGAATCTGTACGATTTTTGAGCTTTCTTCAGATAGTTATAACTATTTTTTATGAAGTTCCAAAAGCTTTTTCCAAGAAGTTTTTGGGATGTTTTTTTTCCCAGAACTTTGTATAAACTTCCTCCAGGAAGATACGAAGCAATCTTCATCAGGAAGTTGCTAAACACGTTCATCAACTGGTTGTCATCATTTCTAGAGAAATTCACCTAGAAAGTCACTTCAATCATTTGTTCAGTACTGCTGTGCAGGAAGCTGCTAAAATTTTCATTTGCATCTAGCTTAATTTATTGCGGTTTAAAATCGAAACAAATTGACTTTCAGCATCCTGTTGGATCGTCACTGAATGCAGCCGCAGATGAACACGATTGTTGGTCATTAGGTCAAATGTCATTATGTCGAATGTCACTGGATAGAACGTCATTATGCCTAATGAGTCACTTATGGGGGCTATACAGAATCCACATGGACATTAATTGAGAGTTTTTTGACCCACGAGAAATTTTTATCGAGAATCCAGGAGAGCGTTAAGCAGGATCCATCGCGTTTCTAAGATTACATCAAGAAGCAAAAATAAAGAAACCGCATTCCGTGCAACGTAAACTACGATGGAGCTGAATGCGCACACTGACGCGGAAGCTGCAGTTCTTTTTGCTGTGGTTGGATAGAGTTGGTGTGGAATTATATTGATAAAAAAATGAGTCAAGTAATGGAATGCTTAATTTGAGGAAAACCTTTGCGCATTGCTTTGTGAGAGGAAATCCCGAGACAACTAGCAGCGCTGTGTAAGAAGGGCAGTTCTTTGGGCTACCTAAGTTCACAGCAGGCATTCTTGTCACAAACTTTGCAGGCGACGGATTAGCAGCAGCAGAAGCAGTATTGGAAGGAGAATATCAGATTCGTGTAGCCCTGGGATCCTCGGTCCGCTCACGACACTCGCCGCGTTTTTAGATTTGTTGTTGATTTTGGCGCTATGTAATATTTGCACAGGCCCTAGGCACCGACAAACCGACATGAAACACCATACAAAGTACCATCAAATTTCTGATCAAACCACAAAACTGACATCTGTCGCCGTGTTCGCGAAAAATGTGTATCCTCACGAACACACATGCAAAATGTATGAGTTGGTTTGTGTCTAATCTATTCCGGTCTAATTATTTTTATCTAGATAAATTTTTTTTATGGTTTTGACTAAAGAGCCTGAATTTATAAAGAGACGACATGTCAAAATTGGAACAATCGATTATCTGTCAAAGTCATAGGAAAAGTCATTCCAATCGAGCAGAAGACCTGTCAAATGGATAAGATGTCGCCTCTTTATAAATTCAGGCTCTTTAGTTTTGACAGATGGGATTGCTGCACATTTGAATCCGCCTTATGGATTCTAGACCAGAGTTAAGTTTCATGCCGGTTTGTCGGTGCCCTAGGTGCACTTGAAATTAGTTATTCTACGGTGGTTAATCTCATTCGTCCCGTATAGTCTCCATCGACACATATTCGATAATCCCAGATTGCCAACGCCAATCTTGCACGTAATTTTCTCAACTAAAAAAGAAGCTTCCTGTTTTAAATTGAACTGAAGTTTGTGTTTTATTCGATTGTTTAAAATATATTTACATGAGAGTCAAAACATAAAACTTACTGCCTAATGAGATTTCTGAACTTGTCAAACCGAACTAAAATTTTCCAAAAAGTTACAATTATAGTCATAATTTTATTTCCATTACAGCACACCATTCGTACAGATCACTCTAACAGAAGAAAATATTTTGACTTATCTACTGATACTGATGTTTCGGTAGAAACTGACCACTTTATGCTTCGGATAGGATTTCCTACCATATACTTGCCATATCTCGTCCCCTCCAAATATCCTAAGCTCATCACTTGGTGGGATCTTTTGGAAAATCCCTACTTAATGTAGAATTTGTAGTGTGTTACTCTCCGTTTACAGTTTACAATAAATATTCATAATGCCACAGATTTCTGCTGGTTGTTGCCTATTTAGGATTTATAGTTGATTTGTTTTGCATCGCTCTGGCTGTTGTCCTAATTTAAACATCGTGGTGCGTTTAAATCATTCTTCTATGATCTACTTTATAAACTCTTACCTTTATCTTTTAAATTTTACCTTCTTTTAAATATAGTTAAATGCTCTGACAGTTGTTTTGTTTTGCTTAATTCTACCGAAAGTTGATTTGTTGATTTGCCTCTATAATAGGTGTCTCTTTTCCTCTTACGTCGCTTACTAGTTAGGAAGTTGCGTTGTGTAAAAACTCAAAACCGGAAATCGAATTAGGTCACCACAATAATGTCTAATAATGCGCTCTTTTAAAATATAAGAAAACAGACGAAGTTCTATCCAATTTGACTAGTTCGATTGATTGAAAGCAAACGATTTTCCTCATGTTCTGAAATCCGATCCGATCTCGCTTCTGCACTGAATGTGTAATGTACACATTTGCCTTAAAAAGAGCGAGACGCTTGTATCACTATCCGCTTGGGTGGGGCGCTTAGACCATCGTTACGTTCCGCCGTTTCTTGGTGTCGGTGCCGCTGGGGTTGCCTCCGGAGTTGCTATTGACGGAATTCACCGACCCATTGTTCGAATGCGGCCCGTAGACGTAGCTGGTGGTGTTGCCACTGCTGCTCGTGGTGTAGATCGGGAGCGGTGGGACCGGTGGAGTGCTTTCGTTGATGTGGTTGTTGTTCAGGAGAGACATTTGATCGTGCTGGGAGTGGGGCTGGGTGCTATAGAACTGCTGGGGCCCGTTGTTGTCCACCAGGTCGTCCATGAGTGTCGGTTGAGGGTGATGGGGATGGTGTGGGTCGTGTTCCTGGAGTAGCTGGGAAGCCGACCAGGATTCGTATGGGCTGAGAGTTCGACCTCCCGGGATCATGGGATTTGGGTTGTAAGTTCGGGTCAAGGTGGTATTGTTGGAGGCAGTGGAGATGATACTGACGGCGCAGTTGTTGTTGTTGTTGTTGTTGATGTTTGATGGGACAATGAAGGACTGGGTATCGATTATGTGCTGCTGTTGCTTGAGCTCTTCGATGAGCTGCTGTTCCATAGGGTGGGTTGAACCCATAGTGCTGTAGCGCTTCTTGGACATCATCATGTCGTCGTCAATGTTGTAGATCGTTGGGATGCCCACAGTTTGGTGATCGTTGAGATTCATGTCGTAGGACACGGACGTTGGGATGTGCGGTTGATGATTGGCATGGTTCGGTGACGAAGAAGACGACGTGGTGGAGTTCGATGAAGGCGAAGATGCATTTCCGGCGGTTGTTACGATGACATTGTGACTGGACGACTTGTGATCGCTTTTGAAGGGTTTGATGGGCTTCTTCTGCTCGTCATCGTGATTGTCGTGACGCTTCTTGACGACGCAGAAATAACAGTACACAATGATGAGTGCTAGCAGTAGGATAACTCCGGCGATTATCGGCAGCAGCAACTCCAGACCAAGATCCATGCTCTTAGCGATCCGCGGGATGATGTCCATACCGTCGTCATGGTGTTTGTTGATCCCGTCGTACGAAGACCAAATGGAGTCGTAACTTTCCGTACCACTCGAGCTAGACGAAGGATACAGCGTGGTAGGTTTCGGTTTTGAAACGAACACTCGAACATAGTTAGAAATTGGACCCGGTTCAGCATCCTTCGTTACCTTCGAATACGGTCTGACGGCGAAGTACAAAATCTGACCGATAAGATGCGGTTCGTGGGTAATGTTCATCGTAAAAGTGCTGTCATCTCCGATCGAGTAGGTCAATGGACTATCGTGATGCCATAGGACAGCTGCCGTATCAAAGTTGTCCACAATGTCCTTGATCGTAGTGGCATATTTCACCTCATACCGGGCAACGGTTTTTCCTCCCATATCCGGCGAAGTCCAGCTAAGTCGAACACGCATTCCTTCCACATCGGAGCTCAGATCACTGATCCTACCAGCCAACCGTTGGTTCTCGTCGTTCAACTGCTCCTGCGTGACGAATACGGTCATCGGTTGCAACGTCCGTTGGAACGGAGTCAACGGTTGCTTCAATGGAATCGCAATGGAGCTTCCACAGCACCTTGTCGACTTCGATGTGCTCGCTGTAACAAATTAGAAAAAAAACAACATTACTCTCAGAACTCCTACCGATCCCATAGATCAAACTTACCTCCAAAGCTGGCACTCTCGGACAGCGAGTACGCCGTGTTGCCATTGTCGCTAACCGTAACCTCGAACTGATATGCTCCGGACCCACCAAACTCTTCCGCATTGAAATATCTCGAGTACACTCCATCGCCTTTGGTTATGTCCGGATCACCGGCACCGGTGTCCAGCAGCTTCAGCTTCTCACGGCACTCGTGAACCATTCCACTGCCAGCCTGACACACCTTGTCCGGTCGGGTAACGGTAACCTCCACCAAAGCGGAGATTATCGGCAGGTCACCTTTCTTCACTTCGGCGTAGATGATCGGTGGGCCACCGGACTTGCTCTGGTGGATCCACGAGCGGGCTTGAATCACCGGAGCATACTTGGACCGTGGAGTTGCGATCACCTGAACGTAGTGCGGTTGCGGGTTCCCATTGAAGCGATCGATCGTGTACGTCCAGGTGCCGGTCTCGTTGAGGACGGCGGAAATCATCAGCTGTTTGACCAGTGAACGTGCGTCGCTTCGCGAAGTGTAGACGTTTCCGTTCGGACTGGTGAGCTTGAGATTTGTGATCAACGGGTTTTCCGGGTTGTGGATGTAGACGAAAAAGTGCGCCGGAGGGCCCATAAAGGAATCCAGCATGAAACTACCGGTTACGGTTCGGCTGGTACGTTTGGAGATCTGGTTGGAGTCATCGATCACGTCCACCAGTTCCTTACGGTAGATTTCTACGGGCAGATCGTTTGCGTTGCCTTCGTAATAGAGTTTACCGATGTTGAACAGGACGTTGGTGAGTTCGAAGTAGGTGGTCAGATAGGTCTTTTCGCCATTGTATTTGCACTCGAAGACGGAGAAGGCGGAACCTCCGGTTCCGTGAGCCAGGGCGTCTAGGGGTTGCCTGCGGATGACGTTCGGATAGTTGATGGTGGTGATGCGAATTTTGTTGGTACGGGCAGCGTTGGCTAGGGGTTTGTAGTCGATTGAGAAGTCCATGCCGGGGGCGACGATCAGGATGACCGAGTTGGCAGGTCCACTGAGACGAGCGCGCTCGTTGAGCATACTGATGGCGTCGGATATGGCACAGGTTAGGCAGGCCGGTTGGCGCGAATCGCTCGGCGAATAGGGAATGAAGGATGCGACGAGATCTTTGTTTTCCTGGATGTGCAGCGGGGAGATTTGGAGGATTTTCTCGGTGGCAGTGTCGTTGGCGAGGACCATTCCGATTTCGGTGTTGCCAGGCAGGTCGTAGACGACCCACTTGCGGATGGCACTGCGCAGGAAGCTCCATGATTCGCGGAGCTGCATGTCCAAGGTTTCGTCGATGATTATGACGTACCGGGTGGACTTGCGAGTTTTGTAGCTGAACTTGGGTGTGGTGTTGATAATTACCGAAGGGTTAACAGCGATTGGGCTCTCGGAGATAAAGTCCGGGTGTTTGAGGATCACATCCAGGGTACTGCGACGATCGCACATCTGGTTGTGCTTGGAGGGGGCGTACCGGTTGTGGGTGCCCTCGTCGCAGAACATCGATACACTTGGAGCTTCGGCGGCGAACATGATGCTGGTTCGGGCGTTCCGATCCAGGATGTCACTTATGTTGTAAGGGACGGGTGGAGACGTCGGACTACCGCACAGTCCATGATCATTCACAGGGGCGTCCGAACATCCCGTCAGCTTGATCTCATGATCATCGTTGATGTAGCACCTTGGATAAACCGGATCCTTATCGTACCCGATTTCATCGAATACTCCGTAACGATATTTGGCCCATTCCCGAACAAACTCCCGGCCGATCGTGTCCCGCCCCAGGATCTCCGAGTCGATGTAGATCTGATCACCCGGTTCGCCACAGCCGGTATACTGATCGGTCCAGATGAGCGACTCCGCCTTGGTGTGAGACCTAATGGTCACATCCGATCGTTCCCCGCTGGCCGATGTTCTGGTTTGATTGTACGGAATGCAGGAGTTTGGCCACTGGGAAGGCAATACCACCGATATTTCACCGAAGTACACTCGACTGTCCAGTGCCGAGAACAGGTACTGCGAGGCAGATGTTAGCATAATCTGAAATGGGGCAAAACAGAAGAGAGAAAGTAATTAGTTGAGCTGTTTCTCACGCTTCTTCGTCTGCACTCGGGTAATACAACTGTTGATTGAAAACAAAAAGCCTTGAAAGAGACTTGAGCCGCCAGACAAGGAGGAAATTGATTTCGTAAGAGCATTCTGTTGAGTGCCCTCGTCGCTGGCCGCACATGAAACGAGTGTGAGAATTGATTGCTTTTCAAATAATAATAATAAATCGATCGTCGTTTTGATCCAGAAGGGGAGGTAGGAACTTGATTTGCCAGAAAAACGATTAGACGACGAACCCGACCCGAAAAGGGAATTTGATGGATGGTCGGGTTGCGGTGGTTGTGATGGTAATTAAAAAAAGAAAACAAACAATTTTTGCCTTCTTCTACGGAGCCGGTGAGTCAAAGCCGCGTTTTCTGACAGCAACAAAAAAGAAGCGAACGCGCCCGCCGTGAGCGGGTTCGTCGCTTATTAACGGTTCAGTTGAGTAATTTTAATTGTGCGAAATTCCGTAATGACCGACATTTGACGAAATGCCAACGGCGTCGGCGGCGGTTGGTGGTCATATATGATTGCCGGCAAATTGAGAGGATTTGATGATCTACCCACTCACTAGGAGAAGATGTGTCTATTTATGGCCTACTGGCTATTATAGGGGCTAGGTACATTGCGCTGATGTAAGGTTAGAAACTCTCCTATTAGTGGGGGGCCAGCTGGAATTGAAGACAAATTCGAGTTGAGGTCATGATGTTTGGTTGTAAAATCTGCTATTAGCGATGTACCGCTGAGAGCTGATGAGAGCAGCATGCATGCATTTTGCGCAGCAGGTCCTCTACGTATGCCACGGGAGTGAAACTGGTTTTCGCCGGTAGGTAGGCATATTATTGGCATAAGATGAGTATGAGCGCGCGCCTCTTCTCGATCGCGAGGACTAAATAAACGTATACTTTTTCGGAGGGCCTAATTGACATAAGCGTGGTCGGCAGGTGGCACACGTTTTCGCCTGGCGATTTCGCTAATTTAGGGGTCTGATTTTTTGGACGGGGGAAACTTGCACGGTTCCAGTTGCATCCGGCGGGGTGTGTAATTTTGGGAGGGCAGCTGAATTTCAGGATGGTTGTTTTAGTGGGCCACGTGGCTGGAATGTTGTGTCACAAGACGAAATTACGACAGCGTTCAAAATTCAACTCAATTTGGAGTAAATCCACTTTTGCCGAAATTGAGTCGACATGACTCAATTTTGAGTAGGTCTGAACGACCGTGTGTACATACTCAGGGCAATGAACTCAAACGAATCTCTCAGAACTTTTTCCCAAGGTTATTTAAAGTTTTCTTGACCTTTTAAAAGTGTCCTAAATTTATGGGAAGTTCCGACAATCTCTACGATTTTCCATAGCTCATACAAAGTTTCCTAGGAAGTTCATTGAATTTCTATAAAATTTCCTTAACTTCACCAAAAATTCCTGAGCTTATTCCAAGTTCCATATTTTCTTCTGCTAACAAGTTATCTTAATTGTTCCAAGATATTAGAACATCTATGAACTAAGAGCTTCCCAAACTTATCTGCACTTCAATGAAGTTTAATGAAGTTCCTCGAATTGTTGCGTAAATCGCTAAACATCCACAAAGTTTGCTGAACTACAATGAAGTTCGTTTTCTCTCTTTTTTAATTACTTTACATTAGAATTTGTTGTACTTCTACCTTTCTCGTTGAATTTCTGTGGAGCTCCCTGAAGTAAACCGATGCTTCTTGAACTTTTAAGGGAATTCCCTGAACTATTTCAAGCCCATCAAACTTTAAAAGCCATGTAATTAAAAGAAGGTTCCCAATATTGTATGAGGTTATCTAAAATTAATCAATGTTCCCTAAATTTCTACAAAGTTCCCCAAACGTATACAAATTTTCCACTTTAACGAAGTCTCATGAATTTCTAAGAAATTTCTACGATGTTATTGGAACCTCTACGAAGCTCCCAGAAGTTCTACGAAGTATCTTGAATTTCTACGATGTTCCCTAAACTTCTTCAAAGTTCCTCAAGTTTCACGAACTCCCATAAATTTAATAAGAAATCCCTAAACTTCAACAAAGTACCAGAATTTCTTCAACATTTACTAGATTTCTCTAAAGTGCACTAGATTTCTACAATGGTCGATGATGTTGGAACTTCCACTTAGTTATCTGGGCTTCTAAAAAGTTAGCTGAAACTTTAATAAGTCTTCTGCACTTCTAGAAAGATTCCCGAATTTCTATGAAGATCCTTAAACTACTACGAAGAACCCTGATCATTTTTGCAGTTCCTGAAACTTGTAGAAAGTTTCCGGAAGATATATGAAATTCCTTGAAATTCTATGAAGTTCCCTGAACCTTTAGGAAGTTCCTCGAAATACTAACAAGTTCCTTGAAAACAAATGCATATGATGATCTCTTAACTTATACGACTTGCCGTTGACGTATAAGAAGCTTTTATAACTTTTTTAAAGGATTAGGTTTATAGATCTGAAGTATTGAACACTCCCTTACCTCTTGCAAACTTAAAAAGTAAAGCAGTTCAACGTCAAATGACGAATCGAAAAAAGTAAGAGGTTGTATACAAGACACGACCGTAGATTTGACGTAGGATTACGTGCTCGGTATCAATATTCGGCACCTGTGTTAAGGAAATCACTTTTTTTCCATCACGAAAACGACGTCAATCTATCCAGCGGGACAAACTTAACGAATTTCAAAGTTTTGACTTGATTTTCAATTTACCAATAGCGTACCATAGCGTACCTTTAAGGATTTTGAACGTACCTCAAAGCTTCCCGGAAAACCCGTGTCCCGCTGGATAGACATACGATTTCAGCAATGACCAAGTCGATCGACCAGATTTCTACGGAAATGTGACGTACCAAATACGTACTTTACGAATCTGTAATTCATTTTTAACGTACCTCTTAATTTCACTTAAATGCTTATACTAAACTTTTTAAATCGGTTTACATATAAATTCTGGGCACGACATTGGATCTCTTGGAAAATTTTAGCCCGATTTCATATAAAAAGCATTATACATAAGTGCGTTCGAGCCAATTTGAGGGCCAAAAACCGTTTTTTTTTATATTTGCATCCGAATTTGCATTCGAACAAAACCGTTAATTTCATGAATAATTATGGAGACGCACGGTGCTGCTTGAAAAACTCCATCATGAGAAATGCCTTGATAACTTTTTGATCAGTCATGACCAACGCACCTAACTGGAATTCACTTTTTGATAGAATTTACCAGTGATTTAAATAAAAATTAATATTATTTTAAGAATTTAATTTTTCCGATTTTTACATTAGAGAAAATCTGATCAAATGATCAGATATCTTTCAAAAATTATTCCTGAATATCCCTGGAACACTTTCTGATTGGTTATATCCAACATACCTAACTGGAATTCACTTTCTGATAGAATTTACCAGTGATTTAAATAAAAATTAATATTATTTTAAGAATTCATTTCTTTCGATTTTTACATTAGCGAAAACCTGATCAAATGATTAAATATCTTTCAAAAATTATTTCTGAATATCCCTGGAACACTTTATGATTGGTCATGACCAATGTACCTAACTGGAATTCACTTTCTGATAGAATTAACCAGTGATTTTTTTTAAATAGAATTAATTTTTATTTTAATCACTAGTAACACGAATAATGCTTGCGAGCTGTATGTTGTTTGGAACGTGGGTGACGCGTTTGGCATAGATGGCTCGCAGCGGCTCACAACGAGCAACTGAATCCGATCAGTAGCGGTGCGGCTTCTTCGTCTTTCTTCGGTGAATCGAGGGCTCATGAGGGTAGCCTTGCCTCGTTGTGTACTGGAGAAAAATGTACAACGCCACGCGCTGAAAGCACTGCTGCTGCTGCTGCTGATTGAACAAGCACCGTTCGGCGAGACCGAATGGAATTCGATTTTGAAATCTGTGTTAGGGAAAGCGCTTTTTGCAGGCAATCGGTGATAATTTTGATCACCATTGCAACAGTTGGACATTTGTGTAATTTTCAGTAGTGACCTATTATAAATTGATAAAGTGTTCATTTTAGCAAATTTGTAGGAAAATTTCCAATCGATTGACTTGTTTAGAATTAAAATCCATCCGCTATTGACAGAGTTATAAGTGGCCAAAACCTGACCACTTTTCGTAACGCGGTCGATTTTGGTTTTTTTTAAATTGCACCCTCAATATGTTGCCGAAAGACGTAATCCTACGATTACATTTTGTGCGTTTTGGGCAGGAAATGCTCAAATTTGTCAAATATTGCAATATTTCTTGCAAGTTCATAGATTGTGTGTAAAACAATACAAGTTTGCATGCATGGATGTTTACATGATTCGTAATACTCAGAGAACAATGACGCACTGTGGTCGAAAAGCCACAAAATATCAAGTTTCATGCATGAGTTTATTCGTCTACGAGCTTTGCCTTGCAAAATTCAGCTAGGAAATAATCACCGATGAGATTTTCGAATCAAAAATTCACTGGTTATTGGTTATTGGGCCCACACATACATTTCGAAAGAAAGCAGTTTTTGACAATGTTTCACTAGCAACCAAAAATATCCGTTTTAGTATTGTCCACATGACACATTGTTCTACGAAAAATTTAAAATCAGAAGATTTTTCACCGATGGGCCCCAATGTTCAGATCCACAGGCCAACGTTGAAGCCATTTCCCATAGCTGTTAGAATAGTAAGGGAAGGAGCATAAATGACGCAGCATTGCAAAATAATGCCTCTTGAATCAGTGAGGGTTAGGGTACGTTCTACCAGGTTGCTCGAAGCAGATTTCATGTGTAAGTAAGTGATGACACTGGCCATTGTTATGTGCATTTCACTTTAAAAGGTGCGTTTTATATTTCACCACAAGTTGTTCCAAAGAGTCTGAATGTGGCGCTTGCATTTATATTTAAAATGTTTATATAAAACACAAGTACATACATGCTTCCAGAATTTAGTTA